TGTGGCGTTTGCATTTACAGACGGCGAGTGAGAATGTACACGCTGTAATTAGACTTTTAGCGATTGTATAAAGCAGGTGCGACGGCAATGCTTTTTGAAGGGGGCGCCAGGTCAAGAGCGTGAAAAGCCAGCGCTGCAGTGTAGTAATTATGTGGCATTCAAGGGCAGATTGTGTTTTATATCGGAGCTTTGAAAGAGATGTTTGAGCGGTGCTTGGGCTGAAAGTAGAGAACATTTAAGCGCTGATGGACGTGGGGGTGGGGGTGGTTCAGTTGGTAGGGCAGTCCACTTTGGGCCTAATGGCCGTGGGTTCTTCTACCATTGACGTCTGCTGTACGCTTGAATGCAACTTCCATGCTCACAGGACGCACATTCACTACGTTTCAGACGCAAAATGAACTGCATTTCTTTTGTGCATGGCGGAAGTGGCGGCGGACTTTGATGCTAGCGGAGTTAAGCTAGCGGATTTTTCCGTCAACCAAAAATGCAGCGTCTCTGCGTCTGAGACCTTCCAAATACTTCATATAACAGCAGTATGACCTTATGCAACTGCTTTGAGTGTGTTTGACGATGCGGAAATACCGTTTAATACTATGAAAAAACGTACGGCGCACCTCTGTGAACACATACTACTGTTATATAAAGTAACCTCCGTGAACACATACTATTGTTATATAAAGCCCGTGGAAAGTCTCTGTTCAAAGACACGCTGCAAAGGTGCATATTGGAGAAGATCTGTACACAAGAAGCTGCTGGAGAAGCTCTGTTAGCATTAGAGCCGGCCGGCTACTTCCGGTACTTCCGGCTCGCGTCAGGACGTTTTGGTGTGAAGACCTCCGCGTCTGAAAACTAGAGAATGCGCGTCTGGTGAGCGGGGCTTCAGCGTTTCAGCGTTGCCGGTCTGAAAGCACCATTACGGGAGCTGATTTGGAACTATACAGTCTGTTTGCATGACAGAGCGCACGGACAAAGACCAGACAGGTACATATCAACTCGTCCAAGGTAAGGTAAGAACTTATGTCAGTATGTAAAAACGGTGGCCTATTCCTTTAAAGACCAACACTAGTGGAAGACAATTGTGAAGTTAGAGCAAAATGACACATGGCCCTATTTTATTTTTCTCAGATAATAAGCTGTAGGGTGCAGACGTAGCTACAAGAGCTGCACGGTTTGTGATCCTATCTTCAGGTTCAACGACTGGATCCGAGAGGTGTTACAGAGGTATGAAGTATCAAGAATGAAACACATGTAGTCATTGTGCAGAGTTAAAGTTAAAGTCTGAGATGTTATTTTATTATAGCGTAGAGTTATTATTCATTTATGAAAAGAAAGAGATGGGGAGGAGGTGGGTCGTTGTGTGAATGAAGCTGCTGATTGGATGGAGCTTCCTCGCGATACGGAGTTGGATGGGACCAGTACCTGATTTCTGCCACGTGAGGGCAGTGTGGCGCTACAGCTGAGTATGATTGACAGATTCTGTTGCTGTAAAGCAGCAGTGGGAGGACTTTGAGCCCTTTGAGCTTAGTTCTTCCTGCCTCCCAGTCTGAATTTCTGCTTTAGCTTCATGTGAGATGCCCCAAAGAAGTATATTTCCAAGCTTCAAGTAGATGTAACCCACGTTCTGTGATGGCAAGCCCATAGTGTGATCTTTGCGTTGTGTTGCCAATGGTGGAAGAGGCTGAACAGACGATCCTCATTTATTGCCTTCATTAAAACAAAAGAGAACTCCTTCATCATCAAGTAACTGTTTTTACTGTAATAATCTGTACAATCAAAGGCTAGATTGTAGACTCCACGTGCTAACAATGACAAGTGCAAGCTAGCAAACTAAAACAAAATACAAAGTTGTTTTTCCCACTTTAGTTTAACGGGGAAACACTCTGAACGCACAATGACAAAATGCTAACCCACAATTAATATTTGGCACCCAACACACTTAATCATTTTACACTCGACAGTCCTCCTTACCTTCATGAAAACAACGAGAACTGCAGCGTTGCGAAGCTGCGGCGAGCTTATATAGTTAAGAAAGAGAAAGGGCGCCCTCTGTTGGCACACAAACATATTACATCCTTACATCTATATAGTAACAATTAGCTTGAAACCACTTTGTAATGTGTCTCCTCCCAGCCCTCACTTCATCCCAACAGAACTTTTCCAAAACACAAACTTGCAGCGATCCATTTCCCGGCGCAGGGCGGAGGGCGGCTGACCAATGAACACTCTGCGCTTGAATATTGCATCATAACTTTTGCCGCATTCATAAAGAAACTGCTTATGTGGACAAAGTGCAAACATAATCCCGTGCTCCAGTGGACAGCAGCTTGTTTCCCCCTGAGTGCCCGGGTGAGGGGTCAGCGGGGGTCAAACTAATCCACATTACAGAGAGAATGTGCTGAGCGTGAGTTGATAAATGCGAGTGACTCCGAGAGACAGCGTTGGGACTCACTGGGGTTTGTTAGTCTGCGGGGACATTTAGACTTTCTCTAAATACTCTTTAGAGAATCAACAGTGGCTGTACACAGGGCATACTCTGTGATATGGACAGGGCCATGTAAACTGTGGAGAGAGATGTAAATGACTACTGTTTATGCAAAGTCTGGCTTCAAATCAATGTTGACTGAGGTTTAATCCGAGTTTACATACAGACCACTCTAGTCTCAGTATACATACAGACCTCTCTTGTCTCAGTATACATACAGACATCTCTTGTCTCAGTATACATACAGACCTCTCTTGTCTCAGTATACATACAGACCTCTCTAGTCTCAGTATACATACAGACCACTCTAGTCTCAGTATACACACAGACCTCTCTAGTCTCAGTATACATACAGACCTCTCTAGTCTCAGTATACATACAGACCACTCTAGTCTCAGTATACATACAGACCTCTCTAGTCTCAGTATACATACAGACCTCTCTAGTCTCAGTATACATACAGACCTCTCTTGTCTCAGTATACATACAGACCTCTCTTGTCTCAGTATACATACAGACCTCTCTAGTCTCAGTATACATACAGACCACTCTAGTCTCAGTTATACACACAGACCTCTCTAGTCTCAGTATACATACAGACCTCTCTAGTCTCAGTATACATACAGACCACTCTAGTCTCAGTATACATACAGACCTCTCTAGTCTCAGTATACATACAGACCTCTCTAGTCTCAGTATACATACAGACCTCTCTTGTCTCAGTATACATACAGACATCTCTTGTCTCAGTATACATACAGACATCTCTTGTCTCAGTATACATACAGACCTCTCTAGTCTCAGTATACATACAGACCTCTCTAGTCTCAGTATACATACAGACCTCTCTAGTCTCAGTATGCATACAGACCTCTCTAGTCTCAAAAACCCAACATGAGGGCATGTTAAATTATCCACAATCAAATTTTACTGTAACTAAAAAACAATATATTGGCACTTGAACCAACTCATGTTTTGTACTTTCAGCATGATATACGGGACATTACATTTTGCAAGAATCGTTTACGTTTATCCAGCATCATTGTTTAATTGCAGCTGTACTTACAACACCCGACAGGAGGTGGCAGTGTTCATCCGGTTTCCGCTTTCTAGTTAACACGAGACGAACCATGCGCCAAGCGGAACTTTTTGCTTTCAGGAACAAGGCTGTTGAGTCGGAGGAACGCACCTCAAAGCCACATCCATCTAAAAGTAAGTAACGTAGCTCCGAACAAATAATAAACTTACAGTCGTAGAATTTGCCTTAGTGTTTCTGTTGAGTGCTAGGAAGTGCTAGCAAACCGTTCGGTTTTTTTTTTTAAAGCTTTTTGTATTCACGAACGGCTAAGGCTATTCTCGTGGATATATTATAATAGATTGTTCCAACGTAAGTTTTGACACGGTCTTTTGGTGCCTCCTCGAGTCTAGACCGTGTGTAGGCTAACACTGTAAATGACTCACTGCACGTGAGTCATTTTTTAATGAGGTTTTACAAAAAAGATTGCCTGACACACTTGTGTAGCATACAGACATTTCACCTTGATATTTTATCAAAGAGGTTAAATTCTGAATAATTCTACTTTTGCTTTTCAGTTTTATGCTCAGATTTCTGTGCACTTGTCTCATGTTAGAAAATATGCGGACATCCATGGAATGTAATGATATGTTTTCTGTTAGATATGATCTACTGAAACATATCAGATTGAAACTCCGCCACAGACATTTATTGTCAGGCCCCCACCTGAGCTGTCACCTGACCTGCAGGAGGCAGGAAGTGAGGCACCGCTTATTCCTCATTTCAAAAGGAGATGGCCTGCTCTGTTCTCTATACATGAGGTAGGTAAATACAAGGCACATGTTTTCTGTTTTTACAATATACTTTGATTTTGTTAAACTCGTTTTTTTTGTGTGTGTGTATGTCCACGTGTGTCCATGTGTATATAATTTTTTATTTTTTTTTTCATTTCAGCTATTGTCTGAGTTCAAAAAAATAACAACCAGTCTTCAGTCAAAGTTTTTCTCTGAGCTTGATGCTCAATCTCTGCCGCATGGAAACTAGCTGTGTAGCTATAATCTGGTGCAGAACATATCTGTCTTTGAGCTTAATTTCTCAGTACATTGCCCCGTCAAATAAGGACTAAACAAACTCAACTAAACTAGGTCTAGGACTCACTTGTGCCTGGACCGAGAGAAGGTCGCACTTTGAGCATTTAACACCCTTTGCTTCATGTGAAACCAAAACAAACTCATGACGTGGAGGCTCTGTAAGCGCTATGAAAAAAGCCATATTCGGCAAAATACTTCTATTCCATATCCATTCCCACAGGTTTCTGATTAGACAACATTCTTTGTTGACTGATTGACCAGGCCACTCGTCTAACTATTCTACTCCAGCGAAAACAGAGCTGTATTTATTAATCAGTTAATTTATAAACGACTTTTTTACACCATCTTTAAGTGTCACGGCAATCCTCTCGACTGCTGCTCAGCTTCGGGGGTCCGCATGAGAAAAGCCCTCCTACTCAGCCTCTGTCGGGGCTGGAGAGCGGTGCATTGTGAGAGAGGGGGCGGGGCCAGCAGGGGGTAAACGGGCCCCCGGGTGCAGCTCTGCGTCGAGGCCCACACCGTGACCTTTATCGGTGCACGTCAACGTCACCCACAGAGAGAGGTGACCTTTCTGCAGCAGGAGAACACTGCTGCTACTGCTATAGCTAACACACACACACTAACACACACACGCTAACACACACATACACAGACAGACGCCTTTGTAACAGCAGGTATGTATGGTAGGGGTTCTGGTCGCTGAATGTTATGTGTTATGTAATGGTTATTGTGCTCCATGAGTGATGTGGAAGTATCGTGTGCAGTTAGCGTCCTCAATATGTACAAAGAAAAACTCTGACAACGCTCAGATCTCTCTCCTCGTCCATTTTAACTATATTGGACAAGACTAAATCCCATGCTCTCTGTGATAAAATGTCTCCGGTCGGCATAGCTGTTTGTAACCACGGAAACCGCAATACTGCTGAGTCAAGGCCAGTAGATGCATGGATCCTGACTCAAAAAGGTCCATGAGCTCTGTGACATACTTGCAATCTGACTCCTTGCCGGTGGGGGTGTACCCGGAAACAGAATTATCCAATGCATTCTTAACCCTTTAAAGCTGCACAAACTGACTTTGGGATTTTGAAGCCTCGGACTCGCTGGCCTCTCTCTTTCTGCTCCCCTCCCCGCACCCACAAAGCTATCGCCCCCCACACACACCCACTGTTGTTGACGGAGCTAGCGTCTCCCGATATGGATAAATACATGCATATGGATTTGCACGTGGATGGCGTGACCATAGAACGATAGAACCGGGAAGCGCGGAGGAACAGGACTTTCTTTTGGAAGGCTGTCTCGCTGTGTAAGCAGAAACCGGTGACGAAGACGAGGAAGCTTCAGGTTAGCTCCGCCGCTTGTTGTGCTAACTCAGCTGTCTGTGCTAACGGACCTGGAGATTTCTCACGAAAGTGGGGGCCAGTGGTCCGCTGTGATCGATCAGAATCTGCGACCCGAAACACATTCTCTTCCTTGTTTCATTAAAACTCAATCTAAAATATAATGTCACGCCAGCACAAATCTGCAATACTTTTTCTTCAAAAGGACGTATATCCCAATGCACCACATGGACATGGATAGCATTTTTGTAATGAATACAAAAATAAAGTCAGTTAGTGCAGCTTTAATGTTCACATCTTGAAGAAAGCAATCTAAATGTTTTTTTTTCTGATTATCTAAGATTTAGCACTAATAACAAACAACTAATTATATTTTCTAAACATTATTATATTATACTTATAGGCTTTTACCAAATGGTTGAGATGCAGTTTTGATGGTAGATGCTAAGCGAGTTTCAATGCAATGTCAATGGTGACATCCGCCCATGCGAGGAATTCCATGTACGTCGCAGCATGCACTTCTGTCCGGCGCAGCAGGGGCGGTGGTTACGACGGCTAAAAAGGAAGAGATGAGATACATGAACATTCTTGCTCCACACATGTGCGGAAACCAATCAGAAAGCAGCAAAATGGTCACAGGGAAAAAAGCCGGTCAAAAACCGGAAGACCAAGACACTCGAAAAGAACCAAAACAAGAACTAATCCAGGACTAAACCAGGGCTAAACCTGGGCTGATAATGGGGGTCATTGCTTGTGAACATACATGCCGCTATGCACTTTTGAATGAACCGATCAGTAGCAGTGTCCCCTCCACAGCTGGCTAATGACACGGGTGATAGTGTGTTAGGTCCTGTCCCAATACTCGCACTTCCACCTCGCGCCCCTCCTTTGCTTGTTCCCGAAGATGGGTGCGAGTGCGTAGGGTACAGTCCCCGCCCCCTTTGCGCCCCTGATCCACACTTTACCGTAGCCTGCATCTATGCGAACACTGGCGAAGGACATTGCCCATAATTCTTTGCGGTACACACCAAAACGTCGGGAAAATGCATTGAAGTGTCAGTTTTGAAATAAAGTAAGTAATATTTATCTATATACCGCCTTTCACAGACCAGAGTCACAAAGCGGTTTACAATTGTTTTTTTTGTTTTTTTTGGCCACACAGAGATGGGAGCAAGGTCGCCAGGACATGACAGACCTATTGTACATATTATTAGTGGTAGGGTAAACCGGAGTACCCAGAGGAAACCTACGCAAACACGGGGAGAACATGCAGACTCCACTCAGAAAAGCCCTGGTCTGATCCAAGACCCTCTTGCTGAGAGGCGAGAGTGCTATCCACTCAGCCACCGTGCCGCCCAAATAATATATATATGCTGTATGTGTGTAAATGTTACTTGGAAAGAAAATAAATGTATTTACGGACATTATGTGGTAACAATTTCATAACTTTTTTAAAGCAAGCATTCATAAAACATTAAATTTAAACTTTACACTTAGTACATACTTAGGCCCCTTAGTACGTAGGGCTACTGTATCTCAAAAGAGCTACTGTATCTCAAAAGAGCTACTGTATCTCAAATTATGAATTATACTTTTATTTTAACAAATCCGTGTACCCTTCAATCATTAAGTTTGTGTAAGCTCTCAGTCGTACAGGGATTAGTCAAAGCAAAGGAAGGTTTCTCACCCATCATCTGTACTTCTTAGCAAGTTTTCCCGACGTTTCGTCCTCAATCTAGCGGACTTCTTCAGGGAATGAATTCTCGGACCGCGCGTTGGAGATTTATAACCTATGGGTGTGGTTAGCCACACCCTAATCCTGATACTAACTCATAAACAATCTACGGTCTGCTTGATGTAGAAGGGAGCAGATCTAACGACCCTGCTGAGGCTAACGACCCTAACTCATTAGCATGTCACTGACCTTGTCCCAAGTTAGGGCGTTGTTTTTAGGATGTCGTCATAGATGCGAGGCAAAACAAATCTTAACCCTCCTCCTCTGTTAAGAGAAGGTTTTTGTTTCCTCACAAAAATGGCTTCTTTCACTCCTCTCTCAAACCAATTCTTCTCCCGAGCCAGAATTTTAACCTTTGTGTCATCCACCGTGTGGTTGGAGGCCTTGAGGTGGAGATGAACAGCCGACTGTGGCCCACTAGAGTTTTCTCTACGATGTTGGTAAAGTCGTTTCTGTAGAGTTTGTTTGGTTTCTCCAATATAGTGGTCAGTGCACTCCTCTTCACTACATTTAATTGAATACACCACATTGCTCTGTTTGTGTCTGGGTGTTTTGTCTTTGGGATGCACTAATTTCTGTCTTAACGTGTTGAAAGGTTTGAAATACACAGGGATTTTGTGTTGCCTAAAGATTCTTTGTAGTTTCTCTGAAACTCCCGCCACATACGGTAAGGACACGCCTCTCCTCCTACTTTCTTCTGTCTGTTGGACTGTGTCTCTGGCCTTTCTCGTCCTTTGGGCTTTAGTAAAAGACCACTTGGGGTAGCCACATCTGGAACGTGCTCTCTGAACATGTTTGGTTTCTCTGTTCTTTCCCTCCAAGCTTGTGGGGACCTGGTGGGCTCGGTGTTGAAGCGTTCTAATGACCCCGAGTTTATGTTGTAGCGGATGATTTGAGTCAAAGGCCAGGTACTGGTCAGTGTGAGTGGACTTTCTGAAGACCTCAGTCTCTAATTGTCCGTTCTCCAGTATGATGACCTTACAATCTAGAAAGGCGAGTTCACTCTCCTTAGCATCCTCGCGAGTGAAATTTATAAAAGGGTCCACCGAATTAATGTGTTCTGAAAATGGTTCCACTTCCTGTTTCTTTAACTTAACCCATGTATCGTCTACATATCGAAACCAATGGCTTGGCGCTGTCCCTTGGTAAGAGACAAGGGCTTGTTCCTCCAGTTTCTCCATATACAGATTGGCCACTATCGGAGAGACTGGGGAGCCCATCGCACAGCCATGAATCTGTCTAAAGAAGGTGCCTCTAAAAAGGAAATACGTGGTGTTAAGACACATTTCAAGTATTTCACAGATGTGGTCAGCTGTTAGTTTTGTTCTCCCCCCTAGTGTGGCGTCTTTCTGTAGGCTTTCTTTTACAGCCTGCACCGCCTCTGTAATAGGGACCGACGTAAAAAGCGATGTCACATCAAACGAGACCATTGTCTCATCTGTGTCAAACTGGAGGTGTTTGATTTTATTTACAAATTCTTTTGTGTTTTCTATGTGATGGTGGGTGTTACCCACCAAAGGAGCCAGAATGGTTTTGAGGTGTTTAGCCAGGTTGTAGGTGATAGAGTCTATGCTACATACAATAGGCCGAAGTGGAAAGTTTTGTTTGTGTATTTTTGGGAGTCCATAAATACTGGGAATGGTGTCTCCTGGGTAAAGTTTGTAATATAGTGGTTTTTCAATAATGCCCTCTTTCACTAAGCTCTGAAGGAAGTCTATAATCTTTTTCCTAAACCCACTGGTAGGGTCCCTCTTCAATGGCTGGTACGTGTTGGTGTCTAAGAGTAACTGATTAACTTTGGCCTCATAGTCTGAGGTGTTGAGGATAACTGTGCATCTGCCTTTGTCAGCTGGTAAAATAGTTATACTCTCATCCTTTTGTAATGCCATTAATGCTTTTTGCTCATCTAATGAGACATTGGATTGTGGGGGCTTCGCACTTTTGAGTGTTGCAGAGACTCTCAGTCTGAGGGCCCCCGCCTCACTCTCAGTTAGTTTGTTGTTTCTAATGGCTGCTTCTGCTGCTGTGATGTATTCAATTGTAGGAATATCTTTTGGGGTTATTGCAAAATTTAGGCCTTTAGTAAGAACATCTTTTTCCGCTTGTGATAAATGCCGATCAGACAGATTTTTGACCCAATTCTCCCTGTCCAAGCCTTGTCCAATTTCACTTTTAGAATGTTGAAAAGAATTATGGTTTTGGAGTTTTAGAAATTTGCCTATCTGACGTTCTTTGGCCTTCTTGTGATGGTTCAGTTGGGCAGTTTCCGTAAACGTCCAAATCCTCTGAAAAAACTCTGGTGAGACTGCCAATTCCAGTTTGTGCTTAAGGCACTCTATCTCGTCCTTTAGGTTTATAATCTCTATGTTAAGTCGTCGAATTCTTAAATTGAGAATCTTCATACAGTAGTTTTGTTGTATTTTTCTTGCCAACTGGCCTGTTTCTAATGCTTTTTGCTTTAAACATTTTGGGATAAGTTTACTCTGGCTACACCTAAGATTAAACCTAAGATGATTTCTGGCGTCTGCTAATTTTCTTTTGATTTTCTCCAACCTGCGTGCCAAGACCAGGGCGTCTCTCCCAAAGTTGGCAACGATAAGTTTGTGTAAGCTCTCAGTCGTACAGGGATTAGTCAAAGCAAAGGAAGGTTTCTCACCCATCATCTGTACTTCTTAGCAAGTTTTCCCGACGTTTCGTCCTCAATCTAGAGGACTTCTTCAGGGAATGAATTCTCGGACCGCGCGTTGGAGATTTATAACCTATGGGTGTGGTTAGCCACACCCTAATCCTGATACTAACTCATAAACAATCTACGGTCTGCTTGATGTAGAAGGGAGCAGATCTAACGACCCTGCTGAGGCTAACGACCCTAACTCATTAGCATGTCACTGACCTTGTCCCAAGTTAGGGCGTTGTTTTTAGGATGTCGTCATAGATGCGAGGCAAAACAAATCTTAACCCTCCTCCTCTGTTAAGAGAAGGTTTTTGTTTCCTCACAAAAATGGCTTCTTTCACTCCTCTCTCAAACCAATTCTTCTCCCGAGCCAGAATTTTAACCTCTGTGTCATCCACCGTGTGGTTGGAGGCCTTGAGGTGGAGATGAACAGCCGACTGTGGCCCACTAGAGTTTTCTCTACGATGTTGGTAAAGTCGTTTCTGTAGAGTCTGTTTGGTTTCTCCAATATAGTGGTCAGTGCACTCCTCTTCACTACATTTAATTGAATACACCACATTGCTCTGTTTGTGTCTGGGTGTTTTGTCTTTGGGATGCACTAATTTCTGTCTTAACGTGTTGAAAGGTTTGAAATACACAGGGATTTTGTGTTGCCTAAAGATTCTTTGTAGTTTCTCTGAAACTCCCGCCACATACGGTAAGGACACGCCTCTCCTCCTACTTTCTTCTGTCTGTTGGACTGTGTCTCTGGCCTTTCTCGTCCTTTGGGCTTTAGTAAAAGACCACTTGGGGTAGCCACATCTGGAACGTGCTCTCTGAACATGTTTGGTTTCTCTGTTCTTTCCCTCCGAGCTTGTGGGGACCTGGTGGGCTCGGTGTTGAAGCGTTCTAATGACCCCGAGCTTATGTTGTAGCGGATGATTTGAGTCAAAGGCCAGGTACTGGTCAGTGTGAGTGGACTTTCTGAAGACCTCAGTCTCTAATTGTCCGTTCTCCAGTATGATGACCTTACAATCTAGAAAGGCGAGTTCACTCTCCTTAGCATCCTCGCGAGTGAAATTTATAAAAGGGTCCACCGAATTAATGTGTTCTGAAAATGGTTCCACTTCCTGTTTCTTTAACTTAACCCATGTATCGTCTACATATCAAAACCAATGGCTTGGCGCTGTCCCTTGGTAAGAGACAACTTCAATCATTAGTTATTCCGTTTCAAAATAAAATCAGAAAAACAAATTACGTGGTTGTTTTATTGTATTTCCATGTTCTAAAATAAATTGGAAAATCAAAACATTCTAAATAAAATATTCACCCATTTCTTTGCTATGCATTGGAAACAAACACTACTCAAACAACTTCCATTATTTTGTTTGATATGCTCCCGGAAATGATGAGTGGTGAGAGACGGAAACAACTGCAAGCTGCACTCAACTCAACTCAACTACACGACAACAACTCGCGCTGTTGTTGAGCCCGCCCCCAGGCCCGAGCGGTCTCCCATCCAAGTATCAACCAGGCCCGACCTTGCCTAGCTTCCGAGATCAGACGAGATCGGGCATTCTCAAGGTGGAATGGCCGTAAGCACAGGGGTATGGAACAGCGTGCCTCCTGACCCTGCTGCTGCTGCTGCGGTCCTCTCCTCCCCCAAAATGAGCGCTCTTGGGCGGATGGCAGACGCGCGGTCCCCCGGTGGTTTCCAAGGGCCATAACTTTCTGGTCCTTTATCCCCCGCGCGTCAAATTCACACCGCGGGTACCCCGGGACCAGGGGAGTCCCACCCCCGCGTCTGTAGCCCCCCTTCCGCGTGGTCTCTTCTCTCTTCCGGAGTCGCAAATAATAATAAAACTAAATAATAGTAAAACTAAATAATAGTAATGCCATAATTCTTTTGAGAATTTTAAACAACTAGAGCCAAAACAAACACATTGATATTGAAGCATAAAGGATTTATTTTTTTATTCAAGTTTAGAAAAGGAAAAGAACAATAAAAGAATGGAAATTTTGATTTTCTGATTTTATTTTGAAACGGAATAACTAATGATCGAAGGGTACAGGGTCGGACAAAATGACCTTTAGTTTGATAAAGTTTAGGTCTGAAAATGACCATCTCTTGACGAGTTCATGACGTAACCTGCCTTTTTTGCTTGTAACCTGCCACTCAAACCCTTGCTTCAAACAAATGTGTAGAATGCAGTGTGGGTATTGTTAGAGGGCCACAGTGTGTTAGTGTGATTGTCTGACTGTGGGAGGGGGCGGTCCTTCTCTTCTGTGGTATCGTCAGCACCAACACCTCATCGCTGCATAAGTTACAGCTCGCACCGACACCGCATCAGCAGCAGTGGAGTCGCCGATTCTCCCTCGCCCTCAATCACAAAGTGGAACATGTGACGAAAGAGACGCAAACACAGGGAAAGAGGTGTTTGAGGGTTTTTTCCCCCGTCTCATGATCTGCTTTAAAAGTTTTGATTATAGCGTAGTGTTCAAATTTCAAATGGTTATGTTACCTGTTGTGCTTTTATACAAACAGATGCATGTTTATTTACAAATGTGTTCCTATTTACAATGTCAGCACGAAAAGTAGTGGGAAAGAAGTAAAAACTTAGACTCCCACCTCATGAATGTACATAAATGTTGAACTAGAGCAATGGTTCTCAAACTTTTCACACCAAGTACCACCTCAGAAAATACTTGCTTCTCCAAGTACCACCCCAAATGACCAACACCACACAGTAGCGTAATAAGCCGAAGTATTCATCAAAAACAAGGCAGAGGTTTCATTCCTAAAGAGGTATATTTAATATTGTCAGCCATTATAACATTATACAGAGGGAGAACCACTGTTTTACAATTTCAACATTAAGACTTAAATTTAGGAAAAAAAAACTAATAACTCTACTTAAATAATGATTCAAATAAAATGTATCGCACATAAAAGTTAAATAAACATTGTACTAAAATAAATGTAAAAAATCTGTTCTTAAAGATTAAATAAAACTGTACTGTACTTCAATGTTATGAAACTAAACTAAGGCCGTATACCTAGCTGCAAGTAACAGTTCTTGCTGTCTCACCTTTACACACTGGCTGCTTTCTGAAACAAACACAAACACAGAGGAAGAACAATAAGATTTAGAATTAAAAAAAAGAGAATTAACAGCTGTAATTAAACATACACAGACTATTAACGACAACTTGCATGAGTTGTGTGTGATGGGTTTGGCTCAGCATCCACCCTGCTTCTGTACTTTGTTTTTATGACAACAAGTGAAGAGAAGCCTTTCTCACACAGATAGGTGGTTGCAAAAGGAAGGAGAAAACGCACTGCCTTGTCAGAAAGCACAGGGTATTCACTGTACTGCTTCATCCAAAAGTCCAACAAAGTGTGCTTTCTGAAAGATGCCTTGTTTTTCGTCACAAGACAGCTCTATTAATTTCTCCTGCTCAACAACAGTTAAGTCCATTGAGGCCACGTGAGAGGTGCTGATGTTGAAAGGGTTTCTCATCCAGCTTCTAGCCTCAGCTCCAGGAATCACAGGGAAATAATTGCAGAACTGTTGTCTGAGTGATGCGAGGTGTGCAGCGATGTTCTCCCTGACTCCATCATCAAGCATCAGGTCATTATCAGACAGAAAACTCTCCAAAGCAGGGAAAGCTGAAACATCACCTGTCTTGACTTCAAGTTCAAATAACTCGAACTTTTTCAGCAGTGCTTTTTTGTCCTGTACATCAAAAGCATTGATAGAGAGTCCCTGCAGTCCCAAATTCAGTTCATTGAAACGTGAAAAAATGTCAGACAAGTATGCCAGCTGACTGAGCCACACAGCATCTTCAAAAATGTCTGAGAGAGGGAAATGTTTGTCCTGCAATAACATCTGGACCTCTCTGTGCAATTCGAAAAGCCTCAAAAGTACCTTTCCTCTTGAAAGCCACTTTACTTCAGTATGAAGCAAGAGTTGGACATGCTCACTTCTCTCCTCGCAGAGCACATGAAATAAGCGAGCATTCATCGGTCTGGACTTTATGAAGTTCACAGTTTTTACAGCAGAGTCCAGCACAGACTTCAGGTCATCAGGCATCTTCTTCACTGCCAGTGCCTCACGGTGGATACTGCAGTGAGTCCAGCGCATCTCAGGTGCCACCTCTCTGATGCGAGTGGCTACCCCGCTGTTATGACCCGTCATAGCCCTCGCGCCGTCTGTACACACCCCCACACACTTTTTCCAGTCCAGTCCATTCTCATGGATAAACGCGTTCAGTAGCTGGAATATGTGCTCTGCCGTAGTTCTGGTTTCAAGTGACTGACAGAACAGAATATCCTCCTGAGCTGCACCATCATATTCATATCTCACATAAACTAATAAATTGGCCAAATCTGCTACATCTGTACTCTCATCGAGCTGTATGGCAAAATATCGACTGTTCTTAATGCGCTCAATCAGTGTGTTTTTAACATCATCAGCCATGTCTTTTATTCTCCTTGACACGGTGTCATTTGAAAGTGGCACCAAGTTTAACTTTCTGGCAGCGTTCTCTCCACGCATGATCCGCGTCATCTCTTTAGCTAAAGGTAAACACAACTGTTCCCCGATTGTGTACGGCTTACCGGCTCTGGCGATCCTGAGGCTGGCACGATATGAAGCCTCCTGTGCTTTGGCTACAGGTGTTCCACAGGACTGAATGATGGACTTTGACTGCTTCAGTTCTTCACGTTTTCGTAAAAAAAATACCACTGGTTTGTCGTTATGTTTCCCGTGTTTGGTTTTAAGATGCCGTTTGAGATGCGACGGTTTCATGGATTCATTGCTCAAAACTTCGCCGCATACCACACACTGCGGCTTCGGCTCTTCCTCTCTACCACTCCAAATAAATCCATAATTGATATAATTTTCATCATATTTCCTCACTCTTTTGTGCCGTTTGTTACTAGCAGCTGCTCTGGGAGCTGCTCTGTGGCTTTCACTGGCGCCACTAAAGCCGCTGTGTGCACCTGCACCTTCCCCGCACTCGTCCTCTTCAGTGCTCGCTTCATCCTGGTCCACACTTCCCTTCGTAGACTGAAGCCACGACAGTAGTTTTGAAGACTTCATTATTAAAAAACTCCACCTCCTGCCATTACCTTTTATTGCCTGTAACCGCTAGCGTCAGCTCGTCTGACTCAACGTCAACGGCAATTTCAAATGTTACATAGGACTACTGCTACCCAGAAGCACTTGCAAACTTGTTAATTAAAAGTTAATTTAAATCTCTCTTAATTTTCTTGCCATAGGTTGATATATTTCATCCATTCTAATATGTTTGATAGTATTTCATGTAAATGTATTTTATTCGATTTATATTTATTTCAGTGATTCTTCGGCGTACCGCTAGAGGGAGCCCGCGTACCACTAGGGGTACGAGTACCCCAGTTAGAGAAAGCCTGAACTAGAGGATTACAGAATAAATATTTTCAATGGCTTTGGCCAATGGCTTGAGACGCTTTCTTTGGAATTGAACCCTGGTTTAGTCCTGTTTTCCCATGTCTTCGTCTTCTTTCTCCAAACGGCTAGTGTCCCCGAGACCACTTTAGTCTCTGAATGGTTGCTGCATCTGCGTCGAGCGTTGATTATCTCCTGCCTTTCACAGCTGCCACGCACATGTGAATATTCATGGTCATGGGTTTGATGTCTGCTGTCGTTGTGCCCCTGGGCAAGACACTTAACCCCACTTTGCCTGAAGCCCCCGCTGAAAGATTGAGGACATATCTGTGTTTAAGGAGCAGCCATCTTGTGCTATGAGGATTGGGTGTAGCTCTGATTGCCACCTCCCCAACCCAGAAATGGAATAATAAAGGTCAATTAAATGGGGTGGGCCTTTGAGCCTGAAGGTCGAGGGTTCAAGCCCCACTGCGAGACCTTTTCCACTGATGTCTGCTGTTGTTGTGTCCTTGGGCAAGACCCTTAACCCACTTTGTCTGTAACAAGCTTGGAAGTAATGTTCGCTGCATGCCTTGATGTGTATATCTGTATTCATCCAACTGAAACATCCCCACAGTGGGACGAATAACGGACCTTCTTCTTCTTCTTCTAAAAAAAAAAAAAAAACATGTATCATAACTGAGAGGACAAAGTGTTGTGTCGTTTCAGAGACTCCGGCTTTGAGTTTGTTTGAGAGCTGCAGCCTCTCGTCACGTCCCGTACGTTCTGCCGACCTCAGCTCTTCTGTTCGCGCTGTTGGAGAATTGCTTTCGTGTCCGGGCGTCGCCGTGGTGACAGGCGCCGCTCTTGAGACGCCGCATCCTCGCTGGCGTCCGCACGTGTTGAGTTCCGGGTCGGTGGATCGAGTCTGAACACTCTGTCGTCAGATTGTGCTAATGCTGCAGGATCGAGAGAGCTCTGGTCTGACTGTGAGAGTTCAGTCAGTTCGGTGTAAGTGTGGTCACGTTTACTGTCATTGTACAAAAAGAAAGAGAAAATACAGCAGTAATACGTACAATATATTATGTTAAAGTATCAATATGTAAGATTTTTATGTCAAGTCCTCATTAAAGGGCCCTAATCTGTCAAAAGGCATTAATAAAACATGCTGTTTCCCAATACTTCTTTAACTGATAACAGTAGTTCAGAGATATTCGGATTTCAAAATTAGTTTTAAATCTTATTATTGTTTTCATTTCGATGTCCCGCCCTTCACCGTTTCACCAATCAGAAAGTCTGTGATCCGGGCGCCAGAACTCACCGCATGGAGCTAATCTCACTGGTAAAGTACCATGTGGCGCTGAACTAAAAACAAGGAATAAAACCAGGATTTCTATCTTTGTGAAAAAGGTGTTGGTTATAGATTTGTTGTTGACAAAACTCTTGTCTATTCAGCTGTTATGGTCCCAGCTGGATTCGTCTGCATATCTGGCAACCTGAGTCAGGGAGAGTGGGAGAGGCTGCAGTACCACTTTTGGACACATTTTTACATTCTACTTTTTTAATGAAGGATGGGAGCAATATGTTTCATGTGGTTCATTTTCCTGTTTGTTCCATGTCTGTTGCTTGTTAGACCCAGTTCAACAATGGTCGATTCAAACATTGCCAGACTCCTGATGATGTTATATGTTTAGGGAGGAAGTCTGTTCAGTGCACAGCCTCTCCTTCACACAGCGCTAGTGCCCCTAGTTGTGGCCAATCACTATTACTATAGATTTTTAAAAGTGTAGTTTTCACTGAAGCTGCAACTAACGATTATTTTGTAATCGATTAATCTATCGATTATTTTTACGATTAATCGAGTAATCGCTTGGCTGTGAATTGTGTAGAAAAAAAATATTTTTTCATCACAAAAAGCTAAAGTGGCAACACTCGAGGATGTATTGATGGCGTAAACTTAAAGTAAATGTTTGTAACAGGCTCTTTGTGCTAATTCTGCTCTGATTGGATGAGACACAGATATTCATGAAATTATAAAAACAAAGTCGGTTTTAATCAAAAATACTACATTTTCATGTAATTTTTGCTCTGTTTGAGTCCGTGTGAACCAGAAAACGATTAATCGATTACTAAAATAGTTGTCGACTATTTCAATAATCGATTAGTCGTCGATTAATCGATTAGTTGTTTCAGCCCTACTTTTCACATGCATGTATGTTTGGTCTGTCAAACCCCACACAGTGTTCAGTGTTAGGACTGAATCAGGGCCAAACCATACATGCGTTTATTAGCCTAAATGATAAGTGAATATAAATGCGGATGTGGATATTCATGTTCGCAGAAGTTTTGTACATTTAATGTTGAATATTTACTAAACTGTAAAAGTTTATTTTACACTCCTCACTGGTGCTGGGTGCACTGGGAAATTAGGATGTTTTTTAAAGATGTGAAAATTCAGATTCAGATCAACTTTTGCGTCTTTAAAAGTTTTATTTTTGGGAAAAAAGTTGTCATTAGTGATTTTCATGGAGTGACTTTAACCCAGGGAAGCCTTAAGACGAGGGGACAACAGATCATATAAGATAAATATATATATTACAATATGTATAAATAATGTCTAACACTGGAACAGCCTCGTCTGTCAGGGACTCGCACTCAGAACCGTGGAAGACATGGATCTGTGGGAGAATGTGCAGAAGAACACAGTAATAAACACAGGGAATAGACTTTATCTTCTTTTTCTTCTTAGCGCCTAAGGAAATGTGTATGTGATATTTACTGTGAATATATCTTTCTTTAAATTGTATTGATTTTTTTATGAGGTTTGGCTCCAATTAGTGTTTAACTTCAGCCAAAACCCTTAAGTCATTTATTTATGTTTTGTTGACTATTGTAGTTTAAACAAAGAGACTGAAACCAAGTAACTAAAACAGCTGTGCTTGTGTTAAGTCTCTCCACGGCCTCGCACCAAAGAACATCTGTGACATGTTTGTGCCATATGAACCAAGGAGGACTCTGAGGAGCACAGGGACTAGCCTCCTGCTGGGACTCTGAGGAGCACAGGGACTTGCCAATACAAATGCTGCTCCTTGTTTGTATATAATATATATATAATATACAGTGCCTTGCGAAAGTATTCGGCCCCCTTGAACCTTTCAACATTTCGCCACATTTCAGGCTTCAAACATAAAGATATAAAAAATATTTTTTCTCAAGAATCAACAACAAGTGGGACACAATCGTGAAGTGGAACGAAATGTATTGGATAATTTTAACTTTTTTAATAAATAAAAAACTGAAAAGTGGGGCGTGCAATATTATTCGGCCCCCTTGCGCTAATACTTTGTAGCGCCACCTTTTGCTGCAATTACAGCTGCAAGTCGCTTGGGGTATGTCTCTATCAGTTTTGCATATCGAGAGACTGGAATTCTTGCCCATTCTTCCTTGCAAAACAGCTCGAGCTCAGTGAGGTTGGATGGAGAGCGTTTGTGAACAGCAGTCTTCAGCTCTTTCCACAGATTCTCGATTGGATTCAGGTCTGGACTTTGACTTGGCCATTCTAACACCTGGATACGTCTATTTGTGAACCATTCCATTGTAGATTTGGCTTTATGTTTTGGATCATTGTCCTGTTGGAAGATAAATCTCCGTCCCAGTCTCAGGTCTTTTGCAGACTCCAACAGGTTTTCTTCCAGAATGGTCCTGTATTTGGCTCCATCCATCTTCCCATCAATTTTAGCCATCTTCCCTGTCCCTGCTGAAGAAAAGCAGGCCCAAAGCATGATGCTGCCACCACCATGTTTGACAGTGGGGATGGTTTGTTCAGGGTGATGAGCTGTGTTGCTTTTACGCCAAACATATCGTTTTGCATTGTGGCCAAAAAGTTCAATTTTGGTTTCATCTGACCAGAGCACCTTCTTCCACATGTTTGGTGTGTCTCCCAGGTGGCTTGTGGAAAACTTTAAACGAGACTTATGGACAGACTCTCCCATCTCAGCTGTAGTTATCTGCAGTTCATCCAGATTGATCATGGGCCTCTTGGCTACATCTCTGATCAGTCTTCTCCTTGTTTGAGAAGAAAGTTTGGAGGGACGGCCGGGTCTTGGTAGATTTGCAGTGGTCTGATACTCCTTCCATTTCAAAATAATTGCTTGCACAGTGCTCCTTGAGATGTTTGAAGCTTGGGAAATCTTTTTGTATCCAAATCAGGCTTTAAACTTCTCCACAACAGTATCTCGGACCTGCCTGGTGTGTTCCTTTGTCTTCATGGTTCTTTCTGCGCTTTAAACAGAACCCTGAGACTATCAAAGAGCAGGTGCATTTATACGGAGACCACACAGGTGCATTCTATTTATCATCATCAGTCATTTAGGACAACATTGGATCATTCAAAGATCCTCACTGAACTTCTGGACTGAGTTTGCTGCACTGAAAGTAAAGGGGCCGAATAATATTGCACGCCCCACTTTTCAGTTTTTTATTTGTTAAAAAAGTTTAAATTATCCAATACATTTTGTTCCACTTCACGATTGTGTCCCACTTGTTGTTGATTCATGACAAAAAACAAAAGGTTTATATCTTTATGTTTGAAGACTGAAATGTGGCGAAATGTTGAAAGGTTCAAGGGGGCCGAATACTTTCGCAAGGCACTGTATATATTCCCATAGCCCACTTCTCATTAAGGTGCTCTGGTTCAGTAGCATTAAGGGTCTTGCCCAAGGACCCACCCTGGATGTTGGTGTTAATGTGTTCCCGGTCGGATTTGAATCCTGGCTTCCCAGGTTCCAGCCCTGCGCCCTACCAACTGAGCTATCCAACTGCAAAGAGGCACCTGAGACGATGGTGAAACCCCAAGGTCTAAGAAACTCCTCCAAAGGTGGTGGAGAATGAGCGTGCAAAGATCCTGTGGGACTTCCAGATACAGTCCGACCCAATGGTAATGAACCAACCTGACATCGCGGTGGTGGACAAAGGGCAGAGGACAGCCGTGGTGGTGGACGTGGCCAAGTGATGGTAACATCAGGAAAAAAGAACATGAAAAGCTTGAGAAATACCAAGGTCTCAGAGAGGAGCTGGAGAGGGCCTGGAGGGTAAAGGAGACAGTAGTGAGAGAGTCTGAAGGTAAAGGAGACAGTAGTGAGAGAGTCTGAAGGTAAAGGAGACAGTAGTGAGAGAGTCTGAAGGTAAAGGAGACAGTAGTGAGAGAGTCTAAAGGTAAAGAAGACAGTAGTGAGAGAGTCTGAAGGTAAAGGAGACAGTAGTGAGAGAGTCTGAAGGTAAAGGAGACAGTAGTGAGAGAGTCTGAAGGTAAAGGAGACAGTAGTGAGAGTCTGAAGGTAAAGGAGACAGTAGTGAGAGAGTCTGAAGGTAAAGGAGACAGTAGTGAGAGAGTCTGAAGGTAAAGGAGACAGTAGTGAGAGAGTCTGAAGGTAAAGGAGACAGTAGTGAGAGTCTGAAGGTAAAGGAGACAGTAGTGAGAGTCTGAAGGTAAAGGAGACAGTAGTGAGAGAGTCTGAAGGTAAAGGAGACAGCAGTGAGAGAGTCTGAAGGTAAAGGAGACAGTAGTGAGAGAGTCTAAAGGTAAAGAAGACAGTAGTGAGAGAGTCTGAAGGTAAAGGAGACAGTAGTGAGAGAGTCTGAAGGTAAAGGAGACAGTAGTGAGAGAGTCTGAAGGTAAAGGAGACAGTAGTGAGAGTCTGAAGGTAAAGGAGACAGTAGTGAGAGAGTCTGAAGGTAAAGGAGACAGTAGTGAGAGAGTCTGAAGGTAAAGGAGACAGTAGTGAGAGAGTCTGAAGGTAAAGGAGACAGTAGTGAGAGAGTCTGAAGGTAAAGGAGACAGTAGTGAGAGAGTCTGAAGGTAAAGGAGACAGTAGTGAGAGAGTCTGAAGGTAAAGGAGACAGCAGTGAGAGAGTCTGAAGGTAAAGGACACAGTAGTGAGAGTCTGAAGGAAAAGGAGACAGCAGTGAGAGAGTCTGAAGGTAAAGGAGACAGTAGTGAGAGAGTCTGAAGGTAAATTAAGTTAAGGATCCTTGGAACAACCTCGGACATCTGGGTCCAGAAATGTGCAGGACCCAAGCTTAGAGAGGGATAACCGCCCACAGAGGGCCAAAGGTGTGTGTTCTTATATACTGTATATCATTTTATATATATATATATATATATATATATATCTGCACGTGTGTGTGTGTGTGTGTGAACTCGGAGCACTCGGCAAAATTAACAACTTATGAATGTAAAATTTCTGTTTGAATGTACTTGCAAATGTATTCCAATGGGGTTTTATGTCAAATAGCAAATTAATTGAATCTGAATCTAAAATCAAAAATCAATCAAATCGGTTGATCTCGTGAGACCTTAAATCCAGTCCCTGCAGAAACCTGTTCAAGAGTATATTTAGTTTCACCTTTTTTCCACACAACCCTGTTTCCTTTCTCTGTGTCGGCAAAAACAACCTCCTCTCACTTCTTCAATATTCTCTCTTCCCACGATCCTCGCTCTGACTGACTTTTGACACACTCTAACTTTGAACACGTCTTCAACCCAGACCGCGGACGGGAAGAAAAAAAAACACATTTCCAACGCCGCTCCAAAGGTTAGCATCACATTTACATTTAGCCCGTTATTACTGTGTGCAAATGGAGCGCCCCTGGGTCAAAACGGTTTTATTGAAGGCTTTTTGCTGCATATACTGAGATAATGATGTGGGTAAATATAAACAGCCACGCGACCCGCAAGACCTTATAATCTTTTAGCATTTAGTAAAACTTTAACCCCTAGCATTATTTATTCAACGTTTGACTGGGATAAGTGAGCGGCCCCAACCACACGATTGACGGCTGGTTTTTGTTTTTTTTTTTGACAAAGCTGCATCAATTTGGTCCAAACCAAAAAATGCAAAGGTTAGAAAGAATCAGTTTGGGATCATAAAGGAAATCTGATTACACTGATTATACATGCGTTTATATATACAGTATACACATTTGATTATGAAACTGAAGAGAGCTCTGGCCTCAAAGTTACCAAACGAGCAAATAAATTCAAAACTGACTGAATAATTATGAAGCGATGGGATTATCAGAGAGAGTACTGGCTCCTTCTCATTTCTCGACTATTGTAGGATCTGTAGCTTTTGTATGAATGTTGAATTGTCGGAGGGTACAAAAGAGGTGGAGGGTTTCAATTAGGTGTTATGTTTTTATACGTGTGTGCAGGTTGTGTGGTTTTGTGTGTGGTTACGTGTGTGTGGGTGTGTGGTTACGTGTGTGTGGGTGTGTGGTTGTGTGTGTGATTACGTGTGGGTGTGTGGTTACGTGTGGGTGTGTGGTTACGTGTGTGTGGTTACGTGTGGTTGTGTGTGTGGTTACATGTGGGTGTGTGGTTACGTGTGTGTGGGTGTGTGGTTATGTGTGTGTGGGTGTGGGTGGGTGTGGTTACGTGTGGTTGTGTGTGTATGGTTACGTGTGGGTGTGGGGTTACGTGTGGGTGGGTGTGTGGTTACGTGTGGGTGTGTGGTTACGTGTGGGTGTGTGGTTACGTGTGGGTGTGTGGTTACGTGTGGGTGTGTGGGTGTGTGTGTGGTTACGTGTGGGTGTGTGGTTACGTGAGTGTGGGTGTGGGTGGGTGTGTGGTTACGTGTGGTTGTGTGTGTGGTTACATGTGGGTGTGTGGTTACGTGTGTGTGGGTGTGGGTGGGTGTGTGTGTATGGTTACGTGTGGGTGTGTGTGTGGTTACGTGTGGGTGTGGGGTTACATGTGTGTGTGTGGTTACGTGTGGTTGTTTGTGTGGGTGTGTGGTTACGTGTGGGTGTGTGTGTGGTTACGTGTGTGTGGGTGTGTGGTTACGTGTGTGTGGGTGTGTGGTTACGTGTGGGTGTGTGGTTACATGTGGGTGTGTGGTTACGTGTGGTTGTGTGTGTGGTTACATGTGGGTGTGTGGTTACGTGTGTGTGGGTGTGTGGTTACGTGTGGGTGGGTGTGTGGTTACGTGTGGGTGGTGGTGTGTGGCTACGTGTGGGTGTGTGGTTACGTGTGTGTGGGTGTGGGTGGGTGTGGTTACGTGTGGTTGTGTGTGTGGTTACGTGTGGGTGTGTGGTTACGTGTGTGTGGGTGTGGTTACGTGTGGGTGGTTACGTGTGGGTTGTGTGTGTGGTTACGTGTGGTTGTGTGTGTGGGTGTGTGGTTACGTGTGTGTGGGTGTGGGTGGGTGTGGTTACTTGTGTGTGTGGGGTTACGTGTGTGTGTGTGTGGTTACGTGTGGTTGTTTGTGTGGGTGTGTGGTTACGTGTGGTTGTGTGTGTGGTTACGTGTGGGTGTGTGTGTGGTCACGTGTGGTTGTGTGTGTGGGTGTGTGGTTACGTGTGGTTTCGTGTGGGTGTGTGGTTACGTGTGTGTGGTTACGTGTGGGTGTGTGGTTACGTGTGGTTACGTGTGTGTGGTTGTGTGAGTGGGTGTGGTTACGTGTGGGTGTGTGAGTGGTTACGTGTGGTTGTTTGTGTGGGTGTGTGGTTACGTGTGTGTGTGTGTGGTTACGTGTGTGTGGGTGTGTGGTTGTGTGTGTGTGTGTGTGGGTGTGTGTGTAGGTGTGTGGTTATGTGTGGGTGGGTGTGTGGTTGTGTGTGTGGTTACGTGTGGTTGTGTGTGTGGTTACGTGTGTGTGGTTACGTGTGTGTGGGTGTGTGGTTACGTGTGGTTGTGTGTGTGGGTGTGTGGTTACGTGTGGTTGTGTGTGTGGTTACGTGTGGTTGTGTGTGTGGTTATGTGTGGGTGTTTGGTTACGTGTGTGTATGGTTGTGTGTGTGTGTGTGTGGTTGTGTGTGTGGTTACGTGTGGTTGTTTGTGTGGGTGTGTGGTTACGTGTGTGTGTGGGTGGTTACGTGTGTGTGGGTGTGTGGTTGTGTGTGTGTGTGTGGGTGTGTGTGTAGGTGTGTGGTTATGTGTGGGTGGGTGTGTGGTTGTGTGTGTGGTTACGTGTGGTTGTGTGTGTGGTTACGTGTGTGTGGTTACGTGTGTGTGGGTGTGTGGTTACGTGTGGTTGTGTGTGTGGGTGTGTGGTTACGTGTGGTTGTGTGTGTGGTTACGTGTGGTTGTGTGTGTGGTTATGTGTGGGTGTTTGGTTACGTGTGTGTATGGTTGTGTGTGTGCGTGTGTGGTTGTGTGTGTGGTTACGTGTGGTTGTGTGTGTGGTTACGTGTGTGTGGTTACGTGTGTGTGGGTGTGTGGTTACGTGTGGTTGTGTGTGTGGTTACGTGTGGTTGTGTGTGTGGTTACGTGTGTGTGGTTACGTGTGGTTGTGTGTGTGGTTACGTGTGGTTGTGTGTGTGGTTACGTGTGTGTGGGTGTGTGGTTACGTGTGGTTGTGTGTGTGGTTATGTGTGGGTGTGTGTGTGGTTACGTGTGTGTGGGTGTGTGGTTGTGTGTGTGATTACGTGTGGGTGTGTGGTTACGTGTGGGTGTGTGGTTACGTGTGTGTGGTTACGTGTGGTTGTGTGTGTGGTTACATGTGGGTGTGTGGTTACGTGTGTGTGGGTGTGGGTGGGTGTGGTTACGTGTGGGTGTGTGGTTACGTGTGGGTGTGTGGTTACGTGTGGGTGTGTGGTTACGTGTGGGTGTGTGTGTGGTTACGTGTGGGTGTGTGGTTACGTGAGTGTGGGTGTGGGTGGGTGTGTGGTTACGTGTGGTTGTGTGTGTGGTTACATGTGGGTGTGTGGTTACGTGTGTGTGGGTGTGGGTGGGGTGTGTGTGTATGGTTACGTGTGGGTGTGTGTGTGGTTACGTGTGGGTGTGGGGTTACATGTGTGTGTGTGGTTACGTGTGGGTGTGTGTGTGGTTACGTGTGTGTGGGTGTGTGGTTACGTGTGTGTGGGTGTGTGGTTACGTGTGGGTGTGTGGTTACATGTGGGTGTGTGGTTACGTGTGTGTGGGTGTGTGGTTACGTGTGGTTGTGTGTGTGGTTACATGTGGGTGTGTGGTTACGTGTGTGTGGGTGTGTGGTTACGTGTGTGTGGGTGTGGGTGGGTGTGGTTACGTGTGGGTGTGTGGTTACGTGTGTGTGGGTGTGGTTACGTGTGGTTGTGTGGGTGGTTACGTGTGGTTGTGTGTGTGGTTACGTGTGGGTGGGTGTGGTTACTTGTGTGTGTGGGGTTACGTGTGTGTGTGTGTGTGGTTACGTGTGGTTGTTTGTGTGGGTGTGTGGTTACGTGTGGTTGTGTGTGTGGTTACGTGTGGGTGTGTGTGTGGTTGTGTGTGTGGGTGTGTGGTTACGTGTGGTTACGTGTGGGTGTGTGGTTACGTGTGTGTGGTTACGTGTGGGTGTGTGGTTACGTGTGGTTACGTGTGTGTGGTTGTGTGTGTGGGTGTGGTTACGTGTGGGTGTGTGAGTGGTTACGTGTGGTTGTTTGTGTGGGTGTGTGGTTACGTGTGTGTGTGTGTGGTTACGTGTGTGTGGGTGTGTGGTTGTGTGTGTGTGTGTGGGTGTGTGTGTAGGTGTGTGGTTATGTGTGGGTGGGTGTGTGGTTGTGTGTGTGGTTACGTGTGGTTGTGTGTGTGGTTACGTGTGTGTGGTTACGTGTGTGTGGGTGTGTGGTTACGTGTGGTTGTGTGTGTGGGTGTGTGGTTACGTGTGGTTGTGTGTGTGGTTACGTGTGGTTGTGTGTGTGGTTATGTGTGGGTGTTTGGTTACGTGTGTGTATGGTTGTGTGTGTGCGTGTGTGGTTGTGTGTGTGGTTACGTGTGGTTGTGTGTGTGGTTACGTGTGTGTGGGTGTGTGGTTACGTGTGGTTGTGTGTGTGGTTACGTGTGGTTGTGTGTGTGGTTACGTGTGTGTGGTTACGTGTGTGTGGGTGTGTGGTTACGTGTGGTTGTGTGTGTGGTTATGTGTGGGTGTGTGTGTGGTTACGTGTGGTTGTGTGTGTGGGTGTGTGGTTACGTGTGGTTGTGTGTGTGGTTACGTGTGGTTGTGTGTGTGGTTACGTGTGGTTGTGTGTGTGGGTGTGTGGTTACGTGTGGTTGTGTGTGTGGTTACGTGTGGTTGTGTGTGTGGTTATGTGTGGGTGTTTGGTTACGTGTGTGTATGGTTGTGTGTGTGCGTGTGTGGTTGTGTGTGTGGTTGTGTGTGTGGTTACGTGTGTGTGGTTACGTGTGGTTGTGTGTGTGGTTACGTGTGTGTGTGCGTGTGTGGTTGTGTGTGTGGTTACGTGTGGTTGTGTGTGTGGTTACGTGTGTGTGGTTACGTGTGGTTGTGTGTGTGGTTACGTGTGTGTGGGTGTGTAGTTACGTGTGGTTGTGTGTGTGGTTATGTGTGGGTGTGTGTGTATTAGTTGCTGCACCGGAAGCACCCAAGACATTTAAAAAGTTACACCTGTGCCTTGGGTTAAAAGGTGGCAATGGGGAGGGGGAAGGGAGGAGGAGGCGATAGAACAGGACACGGGGCCAGACACGGGTCTAGACATGGCTCCAGACTCAGGTCCAGACATAGGTCCAGACTCGGGTCTAGACTCAGGTCCAGACACCCCTCCCCGTTTTTAAACTGCATTTTTAGCACGCATATAACATGGGGAGGCTGCTTTTCAGATTCATGCTGCTAAAATCTGGAACAGTCTTCCTGAAGATGTGAGACAGGCCTCCTCTCTGACAATGTTATATTTGTATCTTTCTTTTTAATGTTCTGTGATTATTTATGATTTTAATGCTTTCTTGTTTTGTTCAGCACTTTGAGTTGCCTTGTGTATGAATTGGGCTATGAATTGGGCTATACAAATAAAATTTCTACTTCCGGGTGGATCATCTAGATCAAGACTATTGGTCCTACTAAGTGTCAATCATTCTGGTGATACATACTCGTCCAAAACGACCTGAGAGTTCTGTTAAAAAAGTGGAGAGGGCGGTTCTTTCCTAAAATTTGGGAAAATCCTCATGTATTTTTTATTGCTTTAGTTTGATTTTGTGGATTTTATCATGAATGTGTTAAATTACCCGTGTGATTTTGGTGTATGATTTGTGCCTTGTGTGGTTGGTTTATTCACTGAAAAAAGTCAGATTTGATGTCCAAACTCTGCTCCCAACACTGTTCATCTGAAGCTAATTCAACCCGACCCATGCCCACTGCCCCCCCCCCCCCCCCCCCCCCCTCTCTCCCTCCAGTGCAGTGCTGTGCCAGGGACCCGAACCCCCTCTCTCCCCTTTCGGAGCCAGTCCTTCATTAGAAAGCAATAACCAGCTCTCTAATCCCACTAATACACTTCTTAACACCGGGGAGTGGAGCAGCCTGGCATCCCCGCTAATTAAGTGAGGGCTAGCCTGCTCGCGTGGCACATGAATTATTAAAACGCTTAAGTAAATAATCCACAGACACACAAAAAAGCAGCCATTTTGGAAGTGGGCGTGAGGTTAAATTATGCATGAAGGCAATATTTGTAAGAGTAATGGGGAGTAAGTGTGTTGACTTTTCCGCTTTTTATCCGAGAAGTGACGAAAAGTGTAACCTCCAAATCGCGGCTAATTAAGGCGTACTTTGACACGGCAGATCAAAGTAAATATTTAGGAGTTTGTCGGAGTGAATTCAGGGAGGGTTTTTCCTAATCTCCATCTGTTGCTTTCACCGGCGAGATGGAGGCGAGTGGTGAGCGGCTACATGAGAGCGGAGTGGTTATGACTCGCACGCAGCAAATACATGTCTATTTATTTTTACTGGTTTTGCCGTGAAATGCCAAATGCAATTTCAGTATTTGGAATGTGGACTGGCTCAAGGAGGGAGGTGGCGTACGGAAAAGTCTGTGTCAGAGATGGATGAATATTGTAAATTGCGGACTATAAGTTGCAGCTTTTTTCCTGCATTTTGTTGGCATCAAAAGATTCATAAAATAAATAGTTTTGTGGTTCTTCGTAAAGACATGAAAGAGACAAGAGACCGGTGACTATTGTTCCTTATTTTTTTTTGCTTCTCATTGAAGTTTCAAAACAGTCTGTGACTCACTTCAGTTAAATGAAGACAATGTTTTTGAGTGACATTTTTAATATTACAATGTGGAACAGGTGCGGCTCATAGTCCGGAAAATATGGTACTTATCTACTACAGGAGTACTACTACAGGAGGCTTAACGTTGGGTTTGATTTGCTCATATTCATTAACACCGTTTTTACACTGGCGCCATTTTGGGACGCAATAGAAAACAAACGACATATATAGAAATAAAAAATGGCTCAGAGCTTTATAACGAGGGACAGCATGACTATATTGGTGGAGCTGAAGTTGGCTGGATGACTCTTTGAAATCGTCTCAATGGATAGTTTGTCATAACGAGGCAGAGGGCCAGATAAAAACAAAACAGTGGGCCGCATTTGGCCCTCGGGCCTGGGTTTGGGCATGACTGCTCTACTACAATTTCTCTCAAAGGAGGAAAAGTGTGACATCAACTCGTTCCACAAGCCTTTTTTGTATTTTATGTATTATTTTGGGCAGTGTTTGTTGTTGTAAATGTGCTATAGAAATAAATTTGACATTGATACAAGAGCCTAAAGTTTCAGTTTGTGGAGGGAAGCTGAAGCATGTTCCCTGGTAACTATGGTTACAGCCAGAAGTCAAACACCTTCTGAGGCCAATCCACAAAAATGACAAATTTACACTTCTCTGTCTTCTTTTTTATTATTGCACTCAAATGCGCCTCACATGTCATTATTCTTTCACTCCAAACACGGTGGTGAAAAACTATTACCGTAGCCATAGCTGCCCTGACAAAAGCGAAGCGACCAGACTGTCGCTTCGGGGCTATCAGCCCCGAAGCGAAGGAAGACACCTTCCCACTATTTAGCCAGTCCCTGTGCTCCTCAGAGTCCCAGCATGAGTCCAGTCCCTGTGCTCCTCAGAGTCCCAGCAGGAGGCCAGTCCCTGTGCTTCTCAGAGTCCCAGCAGGAGGCCAGTCCCTGTGCTTCTCAGAGTCCCAGCAGGAGGCCAGTCCCTGTGCTCCTCAGAGTCCCAGCAGGAGGCCAGTCCCTGTGCTCCTCCGAGTCCCAGCAGGAGGCCAGTCCCTGTGCTTCTCAGAGTCCCAGCAGGAGGCCAGTCCCTGTGCTTCTCAGAGTCCCAGCAGGAGGCCAGTCCCTGTGCTCCTCAGAGTCCCAGCAGGAGGCCAGTCCCTGTGCTCCTCAGAGTCCCAGCAGGAGGCCAGTCCCTGTGCACCTCAGAGTCCCAGCAGGAGGCCAGTCCCTGTGCTTCTCAGAGTCCCAGCAGGAGGCCAGTCCCTGTGCTTCTCAGAGTCCCAGCAGGAGGCCAGTCCCTGTGCTCCTCAGAGTCCCAGCAGGAGGCCAGTCCCTGTGCTCCTCAGAGTCCCAGCACTCTGAGGGACTCTGAGGAGCACAGGGACTGGTTTCCTGCTGGTCACAGAGTCAGGACTAAACATGGGGAGGCTGCATTTCAGATTCATGCTGCTCAAATCTGGAACAATCCTCCTGAAGATGTGAGACAGGCCTCCTCTCTGACAATGTTTAAATCCAGGTTAAAAACAGCTCTGTTTAGCTGTGCTACAACTGAGGGAGTTTATATTTTTGTCTTTAATTATGATTTCAATGCTATTTTGATTTGTTCAGCCTTGTGTATGAATTGTGCTATACAGATAAACTTGCCTTGCCTGTAAATGCCCATGTCCTCTTTCTCTGAGCACGTCTTGTGATCCTTGAGCGCTTTGGTCTCAACAACAGACTAAAAAAGGCTCTTATAAAAGCGTCCGAGAGAGAGACAAAGGTTCGCCACAGTCTGCGGTGATGAAGCCGCCTTTCACGATGTTGACTCACCGCGGCCAGAGCAGAAGCAATTTGAGTTTTCCTTTCTTTCTTTTTTTTTGGACTTCCACTTTTAACCACAATGCTTTTATCATTACACTCCAGTCGCCTTGACCTTGGCAGAGGAAAAAACCCAGAAAGACTAACTTGTGCTATTTAAAACATCATAGTACCGAGGCGGCCTTCCTGTGTTTTTCAATGGATTCAATGATTGTTTAGCTTTTCATTCAGATTTTTTTGGCCATTGATACTGTTGATATTAAAAGGTATTACATTTGAAACGTACTTTTGTGTTTGCTTTGTGTCTTACTTTAGTGACTGACATGTTTTTGTGTGAACTGTAAATGTCTCCATTGTCAGATCAATAAAGTTTATCTGATCTTGTTGAAAGCGGACGTGACTGCTTTGGGGTTCCTCAAGGCTCAGTGCTTGGTCCTCTTTTATTTGATATATATTTATACAGTATTGTGACATAAATGCTGTATATGATAACGTATTACACCAATGGTTAATTCTTAAATATCAAGTACATTTTTAAGAATCTACTTAGCTTACCTGGATTTAGAAGTAATTTTAACAAATGTTTTGTAGATTTTGAATTTCTTTTTATGACTGCCTTATTCTGTTCTTACTTTAATAACTGTGTTGCACCAGGAGAAGTCATTTATTTATTTTATTTATTTATGGACATTTTATTGGAGGATAAACCCCAATAATCATCAAGCTTTCGTGGGGGGTCCTCATGATCATATCCAAAGAACAAAGGAAAGCAGAGTAGATACGGTCGAGTAAAACAAAACAAAATAATTATAACAACAACATTAAAAACAATAGACAGTAATAATAATAATACAACAAATACTTAACACACACACACACTCACACACACCCCTCATGCCACACACTCACACACACCCCTCATGCCACACACTCACACACACCCCTCATGCCACACACTCACACACATACTTATGCCACACACTCACACACACCCCTCATGCCACACACTCACACACACCCCTCATGCGACACACTCACACACACATATTCATGCCACACACTCACACACCCCTCATGCCACACACTCACACACCCCTCATGCCACACACTCACACACACCACTCACGCCACACACTCACACACACCACTCATGCCACACACTCACACACACATACTCATGCCACACACTCACACAAGCTCTCACTATTTGCTTACCCACTACTGCCCTGTTACACAATATTATCGAAATGTAGAATAAATCACTATGGAAGTTTA